AGTTATAAAAAATTCTAGGCAATATTTGCTTCTCCGAACAGATATTTTACGGAAAACAGTCGTTGAGTGCCCCTAATACGGGCACTTTCTATGGCTCCTCAAGTGTCCGTATTAACGGGGTTTGACTGTAATTCGGAATTCCTCTTCAGGCAAACCCAGAGACTAGAAGAGGGTAGATTAATATTGTACATGGTTGCAACAATGGGTAAAAATAACAGAGGGACAACCAAGTGGATTTTCAGGTACCAGTTTACAAAACTTCTCAAAACTTCTCACGCGCTAAAAATTGATCTCCTACATATCTTAAGTGATTTTAGGATGTTTTAAAAGACGACAACCCATCCCCCAAAACTTATTTTCTCGAATAGCCTTTTAAATAGGATTGAAACTCAGCTTCTTTGACCTTTTTCTATTGAATGTCACCCATTTGCCCATTTATAATTTACTGGAAGCTGTTTAAAAGAGCCTTAAAACTAAGGATCTGCACGGCCGAAAGATGATCAAAATAAATAGATGTCAGTGTATAGCTAAGGAAACAAAATATACAACTGCTTCATCTGTCTCTTACCATTTACGGTTGATTAATTATACCTGGATTTTTGAAAACCGGGTTAGCAAAAATATCAACGCATTCTACTGCTTAGCAATGTAAAACAATAAAACTCGTTCAAAGGCCGATTAAAGCCTTTATCTGACGCCAGGCAATAAGTTAATGGTCCCTGGAAGCATTTCAATGCAACGAGTCCAAATTTAAAATGACGCAAATTTTAGAACATTTATTCAGTAATCTGACTTCGCGAAGTTTCAAACCGGTGTCATTTAAGTCTAGACATTTTTAAGGTGAGTGAACTGCAGCGAAAGAGTGCCTGGTTAAGGCTTACCTTAAATAGTTAGCAAAACACTACTTTTTTCGCGGTCCGATAAACAACAATATTCTCATGGAATAGACAACAAACTGAATGAAACATAGCGCACAAATTATCACTTTCTTATCTGCAAAAAACCGGCCTATGGTTCAATGCCATCAGAGCCCGCTGAAACTAGACCAAGATCCAATTTTCCTGAGTCGAGAGTTGCTTTTCCAAGAATCAGCTAAGCTAAACACCGACGAGACAATATGAATGGCTGGCACAGAATATTTTGGCGAAACCGCAGTTCAACCACACAATCACACACTTTCGCGGCACTGGTAAGACTATCTACAATCACGCATAATCTTCTCACGTTCAACATAAGCGAAATATCAACGAATATCTCGGAAAAACTCAGCCCATTGGCAAATAAACACCTCTGGACTTACACTCGTCTTATTCTAGTTCCCGGATGTAGAGTCGCACGGTCGGCGGCGACCACCTTTGCCTTGTTTTCACACCAGAAAAAAACGAAGTCTTGCCCTGGGTCAAAGTTCACCTGCAATTTTGCTCTCAGCAGCAATACAAAACCAACTATAAAGCGCTTCAAAAGAGGGTCTAAATAGGGGGATCCACTTGTCGGTTGTCGGTTAAAATTCAGTTTTTTTGTCGGTAGTCGGTTAAAATTTTCGATCTTTGACGGTTGTCGGTAGATCTCAGTTAAAATGTAAAAATGCATGTTAATTATTACTAGTTGTTATGTATTTCACCCAGTTTCAAGACTATGATCCCTAAAAAATGTATAAAACTTGTAAGAAGTGTATCTCTGAGTTTGCCAATATAGTGCCGATAAATTCACCAAAGCTTTCATTGTAAACTGATGCGAACTTGATTTCCCTGTTGATTGCAGGACACAATAAAAAGTAACCAAGAGAGGTTGACTGGACACAGAGGAAAACGCCCACTCTAGCCTTTTGGATACGTAAATTATTTTTGCGAAAAACTTTAATGAGTGACAGGCCGCACATCTATACCGGCGTGAAACCGTGTTGACCATTAATATTTTGGCTCTAACGAGCATGGGGATTGCCCTTTAATGATTTTCCTTATTTGTTGCAAAATAATAGGCGGTTGTGTAAAATTTGGCGAAGGTGGTTGGTTGCACCACTTTTTCATTAAAGCTTCTTTTATAGTAAACACTTAAGGTTGGTATTGTCACAAAAGGCAAAAGTTCTTTTTCTTCCTTGTTGTTTTGTTTCAGGAACGCGTCCTTCCTTTGAATTTATTTCTGACAGCAGCTTTTCTTTCAAATTGTGTGGGTAGCCTCTGTACATCAAGCGTTTTTGAAATTGAAAGGTGTTTGTAAGGCAAATCCATTTTAACACTTAGTGGGTGACAAGGGGTGAAATGCCTGTAATGGAAGGTTTCCGTTTGTTTAAAACGTGTCTCCACATCTAGGATAGCTTTTCGTTGAATCTTCTAGTGTGCCTTTATATATACAACCGTGTCTAAAAACACAGTCTCAGTGTCAGATATTTAGGCCTTGAATTTAATGGTAGGGTACTCCTCATTACTAGACACTATATATACAGTTGTAAACTACGAAATGCTTTTCCTATGGTACAAGTGTACACTCAGTTAGTCATACGCTCCATGGAAATTGAGAAACAGATTACGTTTGATAATAGTAACTTAGCCTCTTTTAGGAAGAAATGGGCTACTTTGAAACAATGCCCCTCAGAATATAATTTGACTTATACAGTTAATTAAAGTGCAAGTGACAAACGGGCAGATGGGTGATGGAGGACCATAAGGCCGGCAGCCTTCTCTTAATTGTTAATATATAAACTATAGTATTTTTGTGGACTTTGTCCTTCTTTTTCTTTTTATTTCTTTTTTGTAAACGATAACAGTTCCCTGTAATGATTTGTAAACGTAATGTATTGTAATTGCTTGTGTGTGCGAAATAAAATAAAATAAAGGGTGCAGTAAGTTTGCTTGTTCGAAGAAACTCGGCTGCAATGTCTGATTTATGTCCTGTCGTCTATGGTGGTTTCCAAACTGTTGGTTTAAAGACGGTTTTGCTTAGAATTCGTGTTTCAATATATGCCGGCCATGAAAATGTTGGCAAACGAACTGCTGTCTTTGTGCTCATCGCGGTACTGTTGGGGGGAACGTTTCCATTGAACTGTAGAAAATTTTCTTTTGATGAGGACGTCATGAATCTATTAGTATTTCCAGCGGGTAATGTGTAGGAATAGGAGAGTTCAAAAGTAGGTTGAGTTTGATCGTCCGGGTGAACGTAGTCCTGAATAGGACTGTTGTTGTTGACATTGACTGACGTTTCGACAACCTGTGCGGTAGTCATCTTCAGAGTCAAGGTGAGTTGTATCACGTCAGTTGATGGTATTATACTCTTGTTATTGATCTGATTGGTCAATTACGTCGCGATGTTATTGGTCGTCTGTCAGTTAAGCCGTGATGTTATTGGCTATGAAGACTCCTAATCAGTAATTGGTGCGTTTCGATCCGTCTATTGTCACAGTTAAACGGTCGTCTATTGTTAGTCAAGTTGTCAGTTCCCCAGTCGTTGTCTCGTGGTTAGTTCAGTGCTTGATCTCGTCAATAAGTCGTTTGTACGGCGCTGGTAACTGTTGGCTACGCTTCAGTGGCGTTTGTTCTAAGTTTAACTTATAAGTAAACTAGCTTTCTAAAGTAAGACGTTGATAGTAGTCTGTAGAATACGTTATACATGTCCCAGCCAACTTGATGTTTCGTCTTTAAATGGAGCTCAGCAATGTGATTGTTGACGTCACCATTCTTCGTCACTCGTTTGTGTTTGGTCGGTCGTGTGCTTAGGTTTCTGCCGGTTTCACCAATGTAAGAAGCCTGGCAGTCGCAGCATTTGATCTTTTATACTGCTCCCTGTCTGTCCTCCGGTTTGTCTTTGTCCTTGACATTAGTAAGCAGTCGCCGTAAAGTGGTTATCGGTTTATGTGCAACACGTATAGTTTTTATTGTAAGGTTGTAATATACGTGCAATAGTTTTAGAGGTGCCTCTGATGTACGGTAAATAGTCGCTGTCGTAACAGGGCCAGAGTTGGTCTGAGTGTTGGAATTACTGTTACTGTGAGTGTTCCGTCTAACAAAGTCCGTGTTTTAATTGTTCTTACTAAAAACGTTGTTAAGATAATCAGTCTCGTCTTGTAGGCTGTCAGGTGAGTCGCAAACTAGTTGCGCTCGTCTCGTCAGAGTCCGGATAGTAGTAGCCTTGTGAGAGCTCGGGTTGTAAGGTTATTATTCTTTAGTCCTATTTAGACCGGGTTCGTAGCCACGCCCTCCCCTTCTCTTGTGACTTAAAAACCATTCATGATACGGCCGCCAAAATTGCACTACATAATGTAATAATCATGTCCAGCATCTAGGTATGATTCACACAATTGGATGCACAATAAGGTGGGGTCATTAAAACATCATCTTGACGAGTTTATTAGCGGTACCCAAGTCTCATCATTTTTTTTACAGTAACCGTAAAGCCAAAAATTAGGTGTTAATAAAAAAAAAGTTGGCTTACACATTTAAAACCTCTAAACTTGGGAAGTATGCCATTCTCGCGTCATTTACCATTAAAGAAGTAACTAGAACTATCCACCATCTTGGATCTGCCAGCGGTTTCTTGTAATTATAGCCGTTGTTGAGGCTGATTACATTTAAAAATTTGAAAAAGATGCCCGACTACTCTTAGTAAACTATATTAATTATGAGAGTAATTTTTAAAAAGTGAATCGTTTTCAGAATGGTTTACTTAATACACGATGTTTGTTTGGATACATGCTTATCGAAGATCGCTATCGAGAGTATGCAATTATTCACAACTAGTGGCGATCAACTATATCTGTACAATTGAATTCCACTGAACACCGCAAAACTATCATTTGTTTGTATCTTCGCCTGAGTCAGCTTCGTGTCAATTTTAGGAGGCAATGCATGAGTTAAATTCAACATCTAATTATTCCCTAGTAAGTTTGCGCGCTGTTTTGCCATTCAAAGGACCCCTTGCTTGATTTTCCAAAACCTCGTTTCTTGATGTTTTAAGCTTCCGTGCTGCTTTTTCTAAACAAAAGTTGAATAAACGCAACGCGAAACTGTCTAATTCGTACACAGTAAATGATCGGGTTGATCATCGAGTTGAAAGCTGCCACTGTTCTGCCTGTAAATAGGGCTATGTATGCTAAATTGACTGAATTGATGACAGACCTTGATATTAGTATTCAGTATTCGTGCTACTGTGAAAGGTAAATAACACAATATCAAGGAGAAAAGTATCATTGTTGTCAGTATAAAGGCTTTTTTCTCCCTTAAGAATTTTTCTCTGGCTTCCATGGAGAATTGCCCGGCAGCGATTTCTTTTTTATGCCTACGTGTTTCATGGTAAAGCACAACTTGACAGAAGATAATAGTGGTTATGCAAAGAGACAAAGTAATGGTGCCAACCTAAAGATAAGTGTTTTCGTCATAGAAAGATAAAGAGACAGTTATTGTCAATAATATAATCCACAGAAGAGCAGACAAACACGTGAGGCGTTTTTCAGTGACGATGGTTTCGTACCGCAGGGCATGTTTGATGGCAATATACCTCTCTAGCTCACCATGGCTAAGTGAGACAGTGATGCTATACCTAACACTCTTAAAACGAGATGTCGCTAACAGCGTTCTTATACAGTACGTACTGGACGTGTTTCCTTGCAGTTCGGCGATCACCTCAGAGATATATAGAGATTTGCCAATCACACCCATTGCCAGATCAGTTTCGATCACTGGGGCGATGTTTTGATTTGTTTGTTGATAAACATAAGCGCGCCTTCTCATTGGTTGAAAAGTGTCGCGTGACCAGTTGGTCCTGTCCTTAAATTTAGGGATATTCCGGACTGATCTGTAGGTACAGATTAGTGAATAATCTGTAGGTTGCGCTGTTTCCCAGAATTAACTGCAGGCTTTTAGCCAATCAGAAGACAGATGGTGACTACAATGTATAATAATTACAATTATTAAGTCAATGTTTGCCCACATTACATGTTGCCAATGAAAATTTCGAATGTAATCTTGTTTAAATTTATGTTTTCAGCTCTTAGTAGATTCTCAAAATTAATATGTGTCACCAAAACAAGTAGTACAATTGGGTGCTAAGAAAAATGTATGTCTCCTTTTCTTCGTAATATTTGTTTTCTGCAAATTGGTTATTGTTCGCTATCATTCCCTACCACGTAAAGGTATGACATTATGATGCGGTCAGGTATTGCCCCCCACAGAATAAAATAGCATGGGAATAGAATTTTCACATTTAAAAGAGCTGTGTCATGAAATTCAGCCAAATAAGGAAATTACAAAATGCCCGTTAAATTAAGAGAAACATAAAAATAACCGCTTCAAACTTTAAAGGAAGGTTAAAATAACATAACAAAAACAACAGATACCACGGATGGGCAAAACTGAAGAAGATTGAAACGGATTGAAATTAGGGTTTTTGAAAACTGTTCAGCCTAACAGTTTTTCAAAGTTGATCCCTGCTGCTTGCAACTTGAAAAATAATGCTCAGGAGGCATATTTGTTTGTCTCGGATCTCTGATTTTGTCATTTACATGTAATTTCTTTGCTTACTTTAAGTTCCATCGCGATCGAGGGCGAATAATTGGCAAAATTAAACAAAATGAACTGGACTGCCGTGACACAGCCCGTTTAAAAGAAAAGTCTTTACTAAAGATAAGAATTTTGTTCAAACAGTAAAGTATAGAGGTGCAGAAGAGAAAAAAAAGAAAGAAGAAAAAAGTAACAAGAAAAATATACGCTCTTCGTAATATCTGTTCTCTGCAAATTAGTAACTATTCGCTATCATTCCCTCCGGGCACATTATGTGGTCTGTCCACACCAAAGCATACTTTAAGGGCAATGAAATAATGTGTAGCGTGATGTCGTCATAGTAATGTTTTTCGTCTATGAAAGCCTAAGCCGTTAAAATGAGTGTCAAAAATCAAGAAATCAAAATGAATTTATAAGAAGTTTTAACGTTTCTGAGAGCGAATGCCGAATTCTTTCAATATCTATCAAACGCTGGATTAAACAGAAGAGTTAATTTTGAATTGACGTGCTTGTCAAATATGCCTTTGTTTTTCCATGGAAACATTGCCTGTCGTTGACAAAGTTCTTCAACTGGGTTTCAAAAGCCTATAACTAAATAACGTGTAACATGATACTAGACCAAATTTTTAAATATACAAAAGCCAAAGAAGACAAAATGAAGAAATCGAAATGAATCCGGCCAGGACCCTAAAAGAACGGTTTCGTACAATGATCGGGTCAGAAAAGGTTTGATAGTGGATTTTGATAGAACAAGACGCTACGGAGCGTACACTTCGGCGTCGTGGTTGTGGAACTAATTAACTGAAAATGCGGAGGAATAGTAAGGAATCAAATATGGTAAGCGTAAGGTGTTAATTTGTGACATTATGGGATTTGTCAGGATATTCTGAAAAGAGCAACATCCAAGAGGCCTACTTGCCAAAAACTAGGATTTCGGGACAAATTGTCTCCGAGATATTAGCCCAGTTATGCTCTGATGACTCCATACAAATCCTTCTAAAAAAAACAATTCTCTATTTTTCTTAGTCACATCAGACTTCAAAAACAGCCTAGCAGTCTCATGTAAAGGAAAAAGACGTTGAATCGACAAAAATTAAGTGAATATTTATTTCCATATTTTAGGCACCAAATAGTGGCATGGAGCTGAAAAGTACTCTTCTTTCGCCCTTTATGATAATTCTATGATCGGATTTTGAGGATATTAAACTCGATTCTTCCGTCGGTAGTAGTTTTAATTTCCTGACAGGAGCGACATAGTAGTCTGCTAGCTATTAGCTTCGGAGCCAGGTGTTTTTTTCCTGCATAAATAGTCTTAAAGACCTGTCTTAATTTGAAGGCGGAGCGGAACTCAAAATTAACCTAGTAAGCTATTATACGCGTTCGTTAAAAATTCTAGAAGTTGACCTTTAAATAAGTGGTGTCTATTTACCGTGAATTCTATCACAAGTTGTGCTTTCTCAGCATAGTATAAGCAAGTATAGAAATTTCTCGGTTTTCACTCAGGTGAGGAAGCAGAAATAAAAACGGAAACCTTTTAATACAGTAAGTCTAGAATCTGGAAAATGAAAGAAGATAAATATACAAAAAGCCTTGCCTAGAATCAGGTCTATGCCGTCAGTAGTTTATACGCGAGATATTCGGAAAAACGTTATACCCGATAGCAAAATCTCCAAAAATCCGTAATGTTTTTAACCCACACAAGAGCTTTCCCGGCCGCCAGCTAAATGACGCGTCACACAAAAGCCTGGAAATTTAAGCGTCCTGTATGGCAAAACAAAAAGCCCTTTTAACCGAAAATGTGTTTGTACAAAGGTTTTAAGGTGCATTAATATCACATGAAAGTAGAAAAGAAGAAGCGATAGCTTCTTAGTTTGAGTTTTGGTGACGTCATGTGAAAACCGAGAATAGAAAATTAGGCTTTCATGCCATTCGATTACTTGTAAAATATTGCTTTGAATTCCCGTTAGTCGACGACAGTTTGCTTTCACTTGGCAAATGAGGGCGTAAATTATTAACATAAACTGAGCGATCTTTATTTTTCTGAGCGTTAATTGAACCAAAATTAAAACAGTTTATCTTTTGGAATAGAGATCTTTCACATAACTCCAACACCATATGCTAATGAGTCACAATCGTAGAAAGATCCACAAAATATGTTAATGATATCTTCGACGCACAGGCAAGGTTTTTGTTTTCTTTGTCTGGTAATCCCTAAGCGGCCTCGCGGCATTCTGGGGGAGTGTAGCCAGCGAGTCAATGATCGTAGAAGAAGTTAAAATAGAACCTGGGCGGGGTTTCAAAGAATACAGACGGAAAATGCACTTCTGTGAAAACGCTTTAAGATGTTATTTTTAAGACTGAAGGATCCAAAGAATTCAATTTTTGGAAAGATTTTTGTTTTGCTTTATCTGCAACAGTTACTTGTTACAGAGACAAACAACTGACTTGTGTGTCCATAAATAAATATCGGTCATCATACATCATCAAACACTGACCGGCTGTAAATTTTATAGGAAAATTCATTACCTGACGAGGGAATTCCACGTTAAATTGCACGCGAAAACCGATATCGCACGAATCGCGAAGCGATGAGTGCGATATCGGTTTTCAAGTGCAATTGAACGTGGAATTCTCGAGTCAGGTAATGAATTTTCCTTGAATCGCATAATTGAATAAAAATCAGAAGAAAAAAAAAGAAAACAGCAATAATATTGTTTGTTTTTATCCTGAGCGCGCGCTCCAGAAAGCCATTTCAAAGTCAACTGTCAGAACTGTCATTGCGTTAGCGAATAGGAAGCAAGGTCAGTCGTACACGTTTGAACCTTCGACAACTTTTTTTGTACCTTGTGCTTGTTTTCACATTTGTTTTCAAACTTTTTTACATGTAAACAAGCTTCACACTAATCGTAAGGATAAATACAGGTAATTTGCTGAATTTAGAAGCCGTTTATGTAGAACGTCTTTTTTCAGATTGGTCATTTGCTCGAGAAGGAAAATAATTTACACCTTTTACCTCTTCGGCGGCAAAACTGAAAGAAATCAAGTGTGCAAGCGAAAGCACTGAAAGTTTAACATGTTTAACGTCGCGATTGACATAAGGTAAGTACCTTGAAGTGTTTTAGAAATGCTGTTCAAGTTCCGCTCTGTTTTGTACTTTTCTAAGTACCACGATTCAGGACGATTGCAAGCGGCGTACTCTTTTTCGTGTTTTCAGGGACCATGTCCTCTTTGAAGGTATTTATTTCTTCTTCTGTATATGGGACAATCGACCCCGGCACTTCCTCCGTTGTCGCTTCTCCGTTTTGTTTGGTTGAACTTTGGATTGCCATTTTCTGGGCCGTGTTCACAGGATTTTCTTGTTTTCTGGTTGTCGCGAGTGAAAGAGGTTTTATGTCTCTTCGAGAATCTGTAGTTCAGTTCAAAACAAGGAAGAACCTCCGGCTCACTTTAAAAAACGCTTTTGTTTGTTTTTAACTCTTCAAAAAGTGACAATGAATGGTTTTGAAAACATTTTAAAATGACATTGTAGAAAACCTTTTTTGCATGTTGTTGTGTTAGAATTTGACGATAGTTGTTACGTAGATGCGAAACAATATCGCTTAGCCTCGTTTTCAACTCGCAATTCCACACTAAATACCTCGCTTCGTTAACCAATCAGAATGCGAGATTTTACTTAATTATGCGATTCTACTATGAAGAACGAAAGCATCAGGGTATACTATCGTTCTACCCCAAGAGAATCATCGATAAAAAGGATCACACGAATTGTTTCCCAAAACCTCTAAACAGCTGACTGTCACGACAAGTACAAGCAAGACGGCGATGGCACAGACTATTGTGGATAACAGGATGCGATACGCAAAGAAGTCAACAGAAGAGCAAAAATCCGCGAAATTGAGCCAGGTAGCATGTCTGAACGAAGATACATGTAGTTCAGGCACCGATGCCAATGCAGATCTACCAGGTGGAGACAACCCCGCAGCGCCTGAGCCAAAACAGGACAAACCTAAGAAAAAGTGCTCCAGGAAACGACAGCGGACGTCGGAGGAGGCCCACATGGCGCACATGGAGATGTGGCAAGGCTGTGAAAATGATGAGTAAAATAGAACGCATCCCAGATGAATAGTTGTCCAGTTGTACCTCCTGTATGCTCCTGTAATGCGAAGTACAACAACTCAACGTCAAATGCTTGGCTCAAGATAACTGACTATTCCACTACCACCCTTTTGCTTTTGAAGGAACCTGGATAGTACCCAGTGATCTTGACTCTCGCTTGGTCAATAACATACAGCTATTTCAATAAACGTTATCGAAAAAAAAAAAGAAAAAGGAAAAACCTTTAAGCCAAGACCACGAGGTAATATCGGATTTTTCTTGCTCTCAGTCCGACAAACATAAAGAAAGATCTCCAAGGGCGCGTGATATGAATAAAGGAGGTGTTGGGTTACATGTATGGCCCCGTGCAAACGGACTCAAGATTGTTGGATGTTAAGGTAATGTTACACGGGACGATTTTTTTTTGCGGATATTAGGAAAAACGTTTTACCCAAATTTATAAAGCTTTGTATGGAGACACAGAAGAAGCGACAGTCTTTTAGTCTGAATTTTGGTGACGTCAAGTGAAAGCAGAGAATAGCCATTTTTATGATTAGAGATGGCCAAAACCGAACTGAAAAAATAACCATTTAAAAAAAGCACTGGTACCAGTTGAGAAAGTTTACCTTTCTCATGTTACGAACATTTACATACGGTGGCTGGAAAAGTTCACTAATGGTTTTGTTAAAATGATAAATTAATAACGAAAAACACTGACAGACAGCGCTCAAGCGAAATAACACCAAGAAATATATATTTTTAAAAAAACTTGATATTAAAAAAATAAAAATAAAACGCAGTTGACATTCTTTGGTTCTCTTCTGAATATTACGCATGAATTGTTTTTTCATCATCAGCCTTTTGAAGTGGGAATGTATGAAAAATGGCAAAATTCTACTTCAGAACACAATATCTAAGCGGCCAAAAAAATTTCTTCACAAATGTTTACGGTGATTTATTTCGTGCTGACAGAGGCCTCTTTTCCCTGGTATTCGGCAGGCGGGCGGACTGAAGGGACCTCCAGCAGAGAAGCCTGTGTGATAAAATTCGTCGGCAGCCGTTTGCCACAAGTTCTTCATTGTGCTTTTACGACGGTTTTTAGCGCAACACAGTGTTGCAACATTATTGCGACACTGTTTCGAACAGTTACAACATTGTTCCAACATTGCAACGCTGTGTTGCACTAAAAATCGTCGTTGCGAATCGTCCCGTGTTACATCACCTTTACGAGCAATTGACCCAAAACTAAACAAAAAAGACCAGAAGAGTGTGCTAATCTCATTTATTTATTACTCTCAAGCATGCAATGATTCAATTTGTGGACTCTTTACAGAGTGAGCCCATCCAATATGAAGCAAGGAAACTCTCAAAGCAATGGCTTTTTTGAGTGCAATTCCTTATACAGCATTTTGTTTTATCCAATCTAGGAAGTAGATTACATTTGCGTAGACCCCAAACTGCTCAGGTACTCCGCATCCTTTTCCCCAGCTAACAACGCCATGCAGATAATATTCTGAACCAACCGAGTGCTTGCAGACCAAGGGTCCTCCAGAGTCGCCTTGGCACGCGTCATACATCCCCCTTAACCTGCCAGCACAGATCATTGAATCGTCCAACTGGTAATTATAACCCTTCTTCCTATACAGCGTTTCACATACGGTTTTGTTGGGGATGTTGACATGTACTTCTTGCAGGTGAGTTGGAGGGGTTTGAAAAGCATCCACATAACCAAATCCCGTGACAACACACGCTTTTCCCTCCCGCAGTTCCTTTTCATCGGTTTTCGCTGGTAACGCTACGGTTTTAACATAGCTGCAACATAAGAATTGAAATAGAAGATTACCGTAAGTACTCTGTTAAAAGCGCCCTCCTTTTAATAAGCGCCTTCCCCACTTTTCAGGGGAAGAAAGTTAATAAGATCCCTCTCCCTCCTTTTAAGTCCCCCCTCTCCTCCCCTTATTATCCTTCAGTAATAAATTATAGGCCGTATTAATCAATCACTGATCCGGGATGGTTTATTTACCGACTGGAGATTTGGATTTGTTTTTAATCCTCGGCTGCATGAACTCCAACTTTCTTGTACTTGAGCTTTTCTTCCTTTATTGTAGTTCTTTATGGAGAACTGAGACTATCGTCTTTGCTAAATTAAATAAGCCCCCAGTCTCTATTAAGCACTCCAATCAGATGGGCTTGAAATAAATAGGCCCTTGGGGGTGCATAACAGAGGACTTACGCGGTAAGTTGGGCTGGAAGGACAGCGCTATAAGTAAGCAGTTCTGGACTGAGTAGCTTAACCACTCGGAAAGCGAACAAAGTATTTTTTTATTTTCCCTGTCCGTTTGCCCATCTATGATGCCTATCGCCCATTGTAAGGAAATCCGGAAATTTTTGCTTGTGGAATTCGGAATCCGAGTAATTTTTCTCGTGGCCGGAATGCTACCAACGATTGGATTCCGGAATCCAGGGTCCACAGACAAAAGATCTGAAATCCAGTACCTGGAATCCGGAATCCAAGGCGTGGAATAATCCAAGACTGTGTTGGATTCCCTTACATGGAGCGAATCCCTAGAAATCTGAAACCACTGTCTGCAAGACTTTAAGCATGAAAATCAAACGAGCAAGACCTTGACGTAATGATCAGCTCTTTTGGCTGGCCAAAACTAGAAGCTAACGTACAGTGGAACCTCTATTCAAGGGACAAATCCATACAGGGTACACAAAATCTGGTCCCGGAAAAATGTTCACATAGGAAGGGACACTTCTATTCAAGGAAAGGGGACATTTTTCTGGGTCACAAAACCCTGGTTTGACCTCCACTCGGGGGACACCTTAGCACTCAAAACGTGACTGACCACAAAGACGGTTGATAAGTTTCAGTGTACTCTTATCACAATGATGATAGCTTCCACAACATGAACAATCTGACTTAAATCGATGTACTACAAATATGGGAATTCAGCACACAACATCGCAGAGAAAAGTTAATCTTGATTTTTTTGTTCATTACCTAACCTCTTAGAGTAATAACTGCTGGCTGAGCAAAAATTCCGGGGCAGATTAAAAATATATTTATTTTCTTTGTTGGTAAATTGCTAATAAAAGGCCCAACACCAACCTCTACCCAGGGGACACCTATATTTAGGGGACACTTGCCTCGGCCTCGAGGGCGTCCCCTGAATAGAAGTTTAACTCTATGCAAAAAGTATAGTTAACAATTCATTGATCGAGGCTGAGTAAGGCGTGTGACATATGCAGACTGCAGACCGTGCCACAAACTGCAGACCGCAGATTCAAAGACCGGGGTTTACAGGCTGTATTAACTTGAACTTGTTGAATGACACCAAAAATTGGGTGTCTGTAAAACCTAGAACAGGCCATGAAACCGACCTCCTCTGCGCTCGCAAAGCTAAATAATTGACGACAGTGTTGAAGTAAACAGTCACAATTGACCAATCATAGGGTATACCAAGACCTGGTATAGTAGAATGAGTTATTGAAAACAACTGTTCCGTTTCTCCAAAGTTCCCACGCAGTTTTCGCGCAACTGTTCGCGACCCGCTTTCCTCCCGCCAGTTGTGTAGGAGCTGCTCGTAAGGTCTCTCCTGACTGGTCGCATGCCATTCTTTCAATTGTTTCAATATTGTTTGGGGTCAGGGTTAGGCACCACTGGTGACATCTCTTCCGAGCAGCTGCTACATGACCCCTTTCCTCGCTATCTTGGAGCCTGGAAAAAGCTAGGAAACTTTGCAAAGGGAGCAGTTAAAAACGTTAACTTCAATTTTTTATTGGGGAATTCTTCCTAGTATCATTAGCCTCCAGTGCAGACGTGTTCTTCGGCCGAGCTCGCAAATGTTTTTGCTCGTGCAAGCGCTCATTCGAAACCCCAAAAGAAAGGAGGAGTTTTCGCCCGCCCAAAAATACGCCTGCGTTGCAGGTTGTATTGCAAATGGTAACTTGCTCGTTGTGGCAAATTTCTTGAGCTTTAGAGGGCCGGCCTGAAATGAATGCCACTTAGCTCATCTGGAGCCGATTAGTAGAACTTCTAGTCGGCTCCTTCTTGACTTTGTTAACGAGATTTGTAATTGCATGGAAAGATGAATTAGATGATGAAAGAGGCTGTATACTACTAATTGATGATGGTCAAGAAGCAAACAGAAAGGCAACTTACTTCGTTATCAGAGCTGGACGGTCCAGCTGTACCAAGGCAACATCATGTGAGCCAGTTTTTCTGTCGTAGCTGGGGTGAATGATTACCTTTAACACAGTGAAATGCTGTCCGTATTTTTTAAATCTTTCTTCATCAGGTTCTATATTCCATAAACCCATCCTGCAAATATTGAAATATATTATTTCTAGAGGGTTTGAATGGGGGTACCTCGATATAAGCAGTTAAATTTTGGGTATTTTAACACTAATAGTACAAAATCAATTGTAACATGACACTTTTTCCAGAAAGAAAAAAAGAACGCACCAAAAGGCCAATATTATTTTTTGGTGTATCAAGGAGTTTTCGGCCATTTCCCGACAATTCCCGATTATTTCAGAAGATTTCCGAAGACTACCGAAGAGCCTTGTTCATTAGCCTGAGAAAACAGACCACATTTTGCGACGCCACCAACGGTCTCTCCGCGAAATGACGTCTGAGAAAGGAGCGCAGAAATACCATTCTGATGACGCGTTTAATACTACCCAGATCTGCGTAGTGTTTCGGATTATTCGTGCCGCTTGTGAGATTTGCTTCAACCAATCAGAAGCACTACCCAGATCTGGAATGCTCATTTGCACGTGCAAGCAACTCCTTGTCCACTGCGCCACGATGCCACTCACTAGGAAAGTGTTTGAAGAAGTAAATTTGTTATTATTAAAACCTTTTTTCTCTGCCATAGACGCTGTTTGAAGTTTTTAGAGCTGTATTTATCATGAATTCAAAGATACATTTGAGTACAAATTGGCTTAAGCACGTATTTCAGAGCTATTTCGCATTAGTATTACCAAATCGGTGAATAGCAATTTTCGCGCGTTTTGATTGGCTCACGTAACTCGGAATATCCTTGGCTATTCACTGTTTTGCGACCTGAGCGTCTCGTTTCGGGACATTTTGGAAAGAGGAAATTTGAGCGATAAATGAAGCAGTCGTACAAACAAATACCATGAAAGCAACGAACGTTGGCTTATCATTGTTTACTGGTGGGTAGAAAATTATTTTCATGCTGAATTTTGCAACAAAATCGTAAAAATGCACTTGACAAAATCCCCGAAATGTTAGTAAATTGTAAACAAAGTTCCTACTAAGAGACTTTTTAATTTACAAAAAGTTCCTTTTTCTATTTTTATCAAAGTGATTTATTGGTAAATACCAAGACAACCATCCCCCGCAGGGTCGGTGAACAGCGCTAGATATATACCTCCACGATTCGCGTCCGGGTATATTTCCATCCACCACTATATGTTCACTTCACCTCCGGGGGATAGTTGTACATTATTTCGGGTTCAAAAGGCCGATCGTTGTAGAAAATCGATCAAACTAGCTGTACAGAATTTGGTGGAGAATTCAGAAATAAACAGAGGCACACGTGCGAAGAGATTGATGAGACGGTACGGTCGATTTAACTAGCGAAAGAATATAACATAATTATGGAATATAAACGTGGGTGACCTCTGAATCGAGCAACCTATATATTCTGGAACTAATTTTTTATGCCCTTATAGGTCCCGTAAAGAAGATGGCGATCCCGCAACATGACCCGCGGTGCAAATTAACAAAATTACACAATAGGCCACTTCCGAGTTCCAAAAACCCTCACTTTCAAAATGAGGCTAGGTGCACAACCTTTCTTGTGAAAATGAGTTTTATTTGTATGAGAATGAAAAATGATTTTCACATCAAAGGCTGAGCACCTACCCTCATTCTGAAACAGAGGCCCCGGGGAACTCGGAAATGGCCTGTTACGGACACAAAATACCAAAACGGTTTACACAAGCAGATAAAAGTAACAACAAAGCTCACACAGTTATGATCAAATTAGCGATGTATAGGAATATTTGCCTAGCTTTTAATCTTATACCTGTCCTCGTTTTTTCGAATGACTTTGGTGTCCCTTGCAAATTTGCACAAGCGACCCGAACAGGGAGGGGGGGTCCCCAAGGAAAACTGTGGTACAGTCCGCTTGCCAGTATGACGTCACGTCTCTCGTCAGTGACTTTCAAAATGGTGAGCAAAGTGTTCATCGAAGAGACGGATAAAAGTCACGGAAATACTGTTCCGATTTCTTAGATTTGGAGATTTTAAGAGCGGATGTCAGTAAATATCGAGCAGAGTTCTACAAAAGTGAAAAATCGAAAATTCTCAAAAAAATTCACAAAGGAGCACTAGGTAAGCTATTAACATAAATGTAATTTTTACTTCGATCCGATAATTATTTTCCACGTACGGGGGGATTATTGGTTTCGCGGCTCTCGGACCGGGTTTTCCACGCCCGAGACCATGTGTCGCAAAAAAATCGTTTTAAAATTCAAATCCATTGTAATGCGGATAACAAATAACTTATTCAGAAGAGTACTTAATTGCACAAATTCTAAGTGGTGATTTACTCAGTTTGAACGAAAGTGTAATATTTTGGAGATTTTTCATTATTTTCAATATTTTGAACGTTTTCGTTCAATGAAAAAATGGCAAATTTCAAAGCCCAAAATCGTCGACTGGTACCTCGATTTCAGTAACGAGTCTTATACCACGTTAAAGATCGTTATCTCTTCTTTCAAAATCTGTTTTCAAAACTACGGGCAACTTAAAAGAAAATGTTTGAGGCCAAAAAATACTAGTAGTACTTTTCTGAAATTTGAGCTTTCCAGACTCAGCGGGTCGATGCTAAAAACTTGGAAAAATAAGAAATCAGTTTGAGCAATAGTGGTTTCATGTTATCAGCTTTCAGAAACCAAGACGTGTTTATACAGCGATCTGATATAAATTAATGCCGTTTGCTATCAAGAAAAGCAGATTTAGCTGTCAACTCCTGCCAAGTGCACCAGTCACGTGAAGTTGATATTTACTGACATCCGCTCTTAAGGTCCCTTTTGTCATAGAAAACTAGAGTCCTCCTGCTAGAGTTGAGTAATGAAATGGAATGGAATGTCCAGTGGTGTAATGAATTTTAAAAATTCCTTTCTAGCGTCGAGCAAATTTTACGGGCAATCATACCGACCGGTCACACTTTTGAGGGCCAGTGCGCGGCAATATTGAGGAATTTGGACACAGCAATAGGAGGTTCATCAGAGGATGTATTATACTTTACATTGTGTGTCTTCAGAGCTAGTGGAACCCCAAATCAATCCTTTCAAAGTTTGCTTAGCTGTAGCATTGAAAGAGGAAACTAAATGACAGGTATTTGTGTGAGACTGTGACACTGCTGTGAGCATTGAATCTTGTTGCTTTACTGCATTTTATTGGGTATACACCTATAATTCTGTAATTAAATCCCGAAAACCAATAAAAGGTTTCGTTTAATTATTTTTTGGCGGCAAAACAGGTGGAAATTTTAGGGTAATAATGTTGATGATTAAGATGATGTGCAAAAGGCAAGTTTAAATTTCGCCAGTGGGTCACTGGTGGGTGTTGGGTGTTAATTAGTACAGTTTCTGGTGTACTGTGTGTTGTGTGCCATGATGTCAACTAACACTGAAAAAACTTCAGCTGTTTCAGAGGAGGGCATGTCTTGACAGCTTTTCGTTTTTTTCTGGTCGTAAGCTACTTTGCCAGTATGAAGATCAAGAGTTTTTGAAATCCCTTTTCCAAAATAAGACTCCAGACTTGAGCTTCAAATATATATTGATCCAAGTGCGTGATCAGCGGGGTCAGCAGTAAGAATAAAGGAAAACAGGCCAAAAAGAAAAATAGTGTTAAAAGACAAAGGCCAAAAAAAAAAAAACGGTATGACAATGAAACACAAAACAGCATGGCCGGGAGTCGAACCCGATTTATCTGCACGTACAAGCAACTCCTTGACCACTGCACCAAGGTGACACTCATGACTTGATCATGAAGAAGTAAATTTGTTATTATTAAAACCATTTTTCTCTGCCATAGACGCTGTTTGAAGCTGATGGAGCTGTATTTATAATTAATTCAAATATAGATTTGAGGAAAATTAGCTTAAGCGCGTATTTCAAAGCTATTTCGCATTATTTCGGGTTCAACGGGTCGCCTCGACGTAGATAATCGATCGAACTAGCTTTACTGAATTTGGTGGAGAATTAGGAGATCAACAGAGGCCCACACTTGAAAGGATTGATATGAAGTTAGGCCCTTTTAATTAGCAAAAGAATAGATGAAATATAAACATGTGTGATCTGTGAATGGAACCTCCTATTCTGGAGACTGGACCTTGTCTATAATTTTAGAGAAAAAAAGGATTTAAGTTTTGATGACCCTGCCGGTCCCGTGAAATAGATGGCAATTCCGCAACACGGCCCGCAAAACAAATTAACAAAATTCATACAATTACAGACACAAAATATCAAAACGGTTTACACAAGCAGATTAAAGCAACACCAAAGCTCACACACAGTCGATCAAATTAGCGATATATAGCGATATTAGCTAGCTTCTTAGCTTTTCCTTGACCTCGCTCGCCCTAATAACTGTCGTATCCCTTGCTAATTTGCACAAGCGACCCGAGGCTCTTGCCTGTTACCATGTGACGTCATAGTGACAGGCTGAGTGGGTCAAGAAACTTAGGTGAAAACAATAGGGTTACCTCCCCCCCTGGACCCGAAGCTCTCGCCCGTTAGTATGTGACGTCATCACACTGGCAGTGATGAATCGGCCACAGACAAACACATGAAAACAATAGAGATGGCCCCTCCCTCCTATATGCACCGTTCTCACGTACACACCTGACTCGAAAATTGGTGTCCAAACTTCCGTCATCCAGTCGCACGCAATGGGCTGCAGTTAGGACCCAGTTTGCATATATTAAGCTTCCACCGCAGAAAACGTCCCAGATGAATACTGTCTTACCTTTACGAATTTTAGACACTTGGTCCACTAGTGCAGCCTGCCACGGATATACACCTTGCATGGCTTGTGATCCTCCAATTATCCGAGTATAAGCGTTGGAAACGCTGTCGTTTGAGCCTCAAAAAAAAAAAGAGAGAGACCTTTAGATTCGGGGACGAGGACGACCACGAGTACGAGATTTGACTTCAAGTTTTTTCGCGTATTGTCAAAATGTAGACTTCCCGGAAAGCTTCATTTTACCATTTTCACTAGAAAAGTTAGCATTGTTATTTTTAGTGAAGGAGGTTACGCGCTCTCCCGATCGCAAAAT